CGGGGTTCTGAGATGCTAGAAAGCTGAAATTTTAGGGTAATGTCCCCCGTCCAAGCAGGTGCTAATCAGCTCAAATTCAGCCTCCGGGTAAGCGTGGTACTCGCGTACGGGCCCCCCAAAATTTCTCCCGCGCAAATTCATAACTCGGGGATCTGAGAAGCTAGAAGGCTGAAATCTTGGGGTAATGTTCCCCACCCAACTGGGTATTATTGGGCTCGAACCCAGCCCCCGAGTAAGTGTGTACCCGCGCACGAGCCCGCCAAGATTTTTTCCGGGTAAGTTCATAACTCGGGGATCTGAGAAGCTGGAAGGCTGAAATCTTGGGGGCCACGGAAGCTAGAAAGCTGAAATTTTAAGGGGATGTTTCCTGACAGTTCTCGCGGCCAGTCTTAATTTGTTTAGCTAAAAGCATTTGCCGAAAAAACCGGTGCCGGTAGCAAAAAAAAAAAACTGCGGGGAACCATGCAAAAAACGCATCTTCGCACGGGCAGCCCGTGCGTTGGACAATTATTTACAGTGACACCGCGCACTTGCGCTTTGACGCATGCCCTACTTGAATACATTGAAATTAAGAAAGCCTACAAAGAAACCGTGTTAACACTCATCCCTCCCTTTCCTTTGCCTTCCTCGTCCTTCCCTGGTAAAAAACTGCACTTAACTGTACATTTATCTGCATTGGTCCAGAAAATTCGCTGACTGGCAAAATGTTATGGCAGATAATGTAGATCTTTATTTGATTAATAAAAATGCAGAAAAGTATCCTAGTAATCGCATAAAGTTTCTTGAAAATTTGAGATTATTTTTGAGAGGTAGAAGTATTCCGGTCTGCAATGCTAGTGCGACAATTCACTGCCAGAATAAGCCAAAAGAACGGTCACTACAAATCTTCGTTGGAAAAGGCAAGCAAAAAATGCGAGATGACAAGCAATGTTCCCCAAGCCGATACAAAAGCCAAAGCTAAGACAAAAGTGGGAGTGGATCGTCAAGAAGGAGCACCCACCCCCTATAAAAGAAAAACCGCAGCTACTAAATCTCGACTCTACCGAGTCTGGAGGCGAATTGCAGTGACCGAAGGCAAGGGAAGAAGTGCGATGGAGGTGGGAGTAAAGACTGGGGATAGTGGCCTAGATCTCGAGGGTTGTAACGGAGGGGGAGAAACGGGATTCTTTATTGCAAAAGAGCCGAGACCCCGCTTGGAGGTTTCACATAATGATTTATTGCTTTTCGTCAAAAATTGCGTAAGAAGCCATTGCATCCTTATGATGCAACACATCTGATCCCCGATTCAGTGTTTAGACTCCCTATCCCTTTTAGAGTTTTCCAGTCTTAGTGATTTCTGGCTACCTGGATACAAAACCACTACTCCCCATTTTTAGGGCCCAGGATGGCTGTATTCTTCACACAACCTATTCTGGGCAGTTCCATTATGATCTTAGTTTCTCGTATATAATTTTAAATATATAACT